GTTTGCACCACAGACACTCACCTAATGCATCAGATGGATGCATTGTGAACAACTCAGGGTTCAGTATCTTGTCCAGAGGTACTTTGTGACGCAGATAAGTGGGGCGAATTCTCCCACAAACATCTACTTCAAATTATTGTTTCTAAAGGGGACTCTACAAGTTAGCCAGTTGAGTTCTAGGAAAACATTCTTCTGTGGATAACTGCATGTGCTGAAAAGTCAGAAGAGAGTCAGCATTATGAAAATATGTGCATGTGTATGGACGAATTAAATGCCTCGATTCTGCCTCTATCAGATATCGGATTTCAGAATCTTTATTGTAAACTCCCTCCTCTCTGTCCACGTAGAAATGATTATTTAGCAGGGATTATATAAATACTGGAGTGTTTCACAACTGCATTACACTCCTCAGTTCACCATGGACAGAAAAGTGCTGCTGCTCCTCTTGAGTCTGCAGGTTTTCCTGCTCATCACAGCCTTCACTTCCACAGATGCAGCCACACTGCCAGACGATCAGAAACAATCTCTGGATGTGGTAAGAAGTCATAAACTTTGGGAACTGCTGGATACATATTAATGCATGTTTCATGTTGTTGCATTAGATGCTTTATTTATTTATTATTTTTTCCTAAATTTTCTAAGACCAATAGTGAATAAAGCATTCTCTTGTTGGTGAAGGGAATAACCAGGGATGACAGACGAAAGGGAAGAGAAAGAGTCAAACGACAGTCCTGTTCCTCGAGGCCTGGTGGATGTTCCCTCCTTGGCCAAGTAAGACCAGATTTCTTTATTTTTTCATTCACAGTAAAATTAATGGATCTAATAATAAACTCACCATTAAAGAGATTGTCTTGCATATAAATGACACAAATTAATTATTTGTTGTTGTTTTGCCACAGGCCAACCCTAATATTCCTGGTAATAAGGTAAACTTACCACAGATGTCTGCAAGTAGCATAAACAAGTGAAATGAGGTGTCTAATGGGAGGCACTGTGCATTGTATATTTGTGTGCATGCTACAGATTTAAAAAAAAAAAAAAAAACTGATTTAGAAGTTTAGATGTTGCCAAAAGAACATCTCACTCAGGCAGCGCTGCTTTCATGTCTAACACGTGCAGCCTGTGGAAGCAGGCTGTGTTGTAATCACACTCTGTTTCTCTCTCTGGTTTTACAGAATGGTAAAACAACATCAATGCCTCCCCGGGCCGTTCTGAAGAAAACCTGAAATGTTTTTTTCGATACACAAAACAAAAAAAAGTGAGCAAAAAAGAACTCATCTATGCACTCAGGAAAACTGCTATAGTAACTGATCTATTACAACCAGTCAAATGTTAAATACGTTTTTTTCTGTGTGTGTCTCAGTGATCAGAAGAAAACCAGATGACCCACCGGAGAGCTGAAAACTGAGACCTTTACCGACTACATCTTCCTTCGTTACAAGAAATGTTTTTCGTTGTTTCCATGTACTATTATGAAGGCAATAACCAGTGATGCTTTGCATGATGTAAGAAATCCCTATATTCTTCACTGATATGTATCTGCATTAAAAGAATCAATAATCCCCAGTATACATTTGCACTTATCACACCTGACTGAAGGAAAGCATGAAGCATTCAAACTTGCAGAAAGGTTTTATGGCCTTACTCATGTTCTTCATTGAAATAATAAGCTTTCTCCAAGTGCTGTTGATTTCATAACAGTTCACTTTGTGTATTCTGTGCTGCAAAATAAAGCTGACTGAAGTAGAAATTGTCATCTTTGTGCATCATCTTTAACGGTAATAGAAAGCCATGAAGCATTAAACTTTAAAAAAGCTGTCATCGTGTAAGCGCTTGGCTGGGTCAGTAAATCCTGTACAGTTCTGCGTAGTTTTAAAAGCAAAGCAGTGGAGGCACTTGAGGTCTGTATAATGTTTAACTACAGTGTTATTATTTCATTTTGATGCTGCCTCTCAACTTCCTCCTCCCTGTCCACATTGAAATTATAGCTAGCAGGGAGAATACAAATATTCAAGAGTTTCACAGCTGTCTCACACTCCTCAGTTCATCATGGACAGAACTGTGCTGCTGCTCGTGTTGAGGCCCCGTGCAGGCCCCTGCATGCTATGTACCACCGGTAGCTAAATAAAAAAAAGTTGCTGGCATCCAGAAATCCTACCAGTAGCTGGAAAAAGGTGGACTCAAAGACAACACAGAGGCACTAATCATGGCAGCACAGCAACAAGCCCTAAGTACAAGATCCATAGAGGCTGGAGCCTACCACACCAGGCAAGACCCCAGGTGCAGGCTGTGAAAAGATGCCCCTGAGTCAATCCAGCACATAACAGCAGGATGCAAGATGCAAGCAGGCAGGGCATACATAGAATGCCATAACCGAGTGGCGGCACAGTATACAGAAACATCTGTCCCGAGGACAGATGTTTCCAGGAAGGGCCGAGGTCAAAATCGGAGGCGCCCCTAAGGATGGTTGAAAATGACCCAGCTAAGACCCTCTGGGTTTTCTAGATACAGACGGACAAACTGGTGATAGCTAACCAACTGGACATAGTAGTGGTGGACAACCAGAGGAAGACAACCGTAGCGACTGACATAGCGATACAGAATGATAGCTGCATCTGGAAAAAGGAACATGAGAAGCTGGAGAAGTACCAAGGACTCAGAGAAGAGCTGAAGAAGATGTGGAGGGTGAAGGTAACAGTGGTTCCAGCAGGAATCAGAGCACTTGGTTCAGTGACTCTGAAGCTAGCCGAGTGACTCCAGCAGATCTCAGGAACAACACCTGAGATCTCTGTCCAGAAGAGCTAAGATACTGTGCAGGACTGTCTTTTTGTGAAGGTAATTATGTATGAATGTAAACTCAGAAATCAAAATATTATCTTGCACTGAAATGAATTGTCATGTGTCACATGTGCAGTTATTACACCCTCAGAGTCATAAAGAACTTGACTTAAATTTATAACCACTTTATGCAGTAAGTAAGAAACAGAAACAAGTCAAATCAGGTGTGCAATATCAGGTCGTGTGTACTGCATAAAGAAGTTCTGGTGTCTGCTAAAAGAAGATCCGAGCTGGATGATGCGGCCTTCATGTTGAACACCTGCACACAGGAAACAGTGCAGGCTGTGGAAAGATCTCTTTTTACAGTTTATGGCAACAACATAACCCTCAACAGGAAGCTCTGAAAAAACAGTGAAACACATTTTGATCAAATTTTGATCACATCTGTTGTGCAGGTGAGGAAAAAGAAAACATCTGTGCATGCAAGAAAAGTGCTGCTGTTTTATTAACATCAGTCCAATGTTAATTCCTCTGCAATGAGTTTTCCTCTTTTCTGTTTGCGTGTGTGTGTGTGTGTGTGTGTGTGTGTGTGTGTGTGTGTGTGTGTGTGTGTGTGTGTGTGTGTGTGTGTGTGTGTGTGTTTTCAGAAGAAAACCAGATGAAACAAGACCAGAGGACTAAAGACTATCGCAAGAAATATTCATCACTGCAACTTTATATCAATGTAAATAATTTATATTGATTTGTATACTGTAGCGCCCACTATCTTCATCAAGGATCAATAATTTGCAAGTACCTGCTAGTTATGAAGTTTAACACATATGTTTTAACATAAAAAGGTCAAACTCACATCAACCGCTACAGGTCTGAGTTATAATCACACTGACAGCTGGAAAGCGTGAAGAGCATTCATTATTCTATTCAGTAAATATATCACTTGAAATAATGATTTTATTCCTAGTCTAACGAGCTTGGAAAGAAGGCGACTGGACTCGACTTTTTAGGGTTTTCCATTAGATGGAAATACACGGTACAAGATTTTTTTTCTGGCCTGGGTTCTAAGAGTTGAGTCAATCTTAAAATGTGACATCCACAGACTGCACGCCACCAATCGGCCACTCAGTGACGAGGGCAACAGGCCGAGCAGCAGGTATACCATCACCTCGACATCCTCTGTTTTTTTGTGTTGAGTGTGTGTGGCATACAAATGATGTCACAGACTTTTGGACGCATTACCATGACTACCGCAAGCACATTGAGGTAATGCTCAGTTGCAATGGAAATTGGAGTAACTGATTTGTAATCGGAGTCTTTGCTTGGCCGATTCTGGCCTCCCCGCAATAAGTTTGACACCCCTGTTGTAAAAGAAAAGTCCACATGTATTACATAACAGCAGGTTTTCCTTCTCTTTACGGGGAATTACAGGACAAACACGCACTTCTCTTGTAGCTGTAATGTGGCAAACAGACACAACAGTGTGTGTCGGCTGTTGGAACGAAAACATTTAGTAAGTGCACATTTCACAATAATGAACCCACATCCACCCACTCATAAACGAAACAACATCTAAGAATGTTCATTTTCTACTGGGTTTTACGTTATACTATTTCCCTGAAGATTCCCCATCTCAACATATCACTTGTTACCGTAAAACAGAGATAAAATCCGCTTTAAACCCACACCACTTCCCTTACAGTGAAGGGCATGTTGTGGTTTTATGCATGTTAGCAACACTTTGTTATGCGACTAAGGCCACAGTGGTTAACAGCTACCAAATTATTAACTCTACTGTTTAAAACATATAGTTTAGAACATATAGAAGCAAATATCCAGGTTATCCTTAAGAAAACACCTCACGAGACTGAAATTTAAAATCTTCCTTCTCGAATGTTGCTTGTGGAAAAAGGTCTTCAATAGAAAGTGAAACTCTGACAGTCCTGTGTTTATTCATTCTTTTTTTATAATGAAGATTAAGTGTTTCATTTCTGGTCTTTGCTGAGTTCAGTGACACATTTTTTTTTAACTGTTGTGAAATACCCAAGGAGGGACTGCAGGAAGGAAACCAAGAGATCAGGTAAATAAACACAGAGTAAATGACGTGATCAAATTAAATCAAGATAAGTTAAACAACCCCCTTCAAACAGCTTTCATATATGCTGCACGTTTTTGGACAAGCTACATTTTATCTACACACACACCCTATTTTTTTCCCTCTTCAGATGGAAGTTATTTGTTGGCGAAGAGTATATAAAGGCCTATGTGTGTGTGTGTTTCACATCTTTATCAAACTCTTCAGCCACTCGTCATGAACAAAAACACATTGCTGGTCCTTTTGTGTCTGCAGGCGATCCTGCTCATCACGGCCTCATCTGAGATGACAGCTGAACAGCCGACACCGGTAAGGAGGACAACTTTACAAAACCTGTGTCTAGATTTTCATTAATTATTACAGAAACTATCAAAATGAAATGAAATAAGAAGATGTGGTGTCTAAATATTGAATACTTTTTTCCCAGACAGAGGAGATAACTTCTGTACACAACACGAAGGTGAAAAGCCCAAATGTTAAACATCTGAAAAAATGCCGCGTGACACAAGCAGGATGTCGACGACACCACACAGTAAGGCAAATTTCTGTTTAACAAGTAAAATAAATTAAGGAATAATCATAATAATTTCAGTATTTACATCTCAAAACAATTTGCAGCATATCAGCAGTTTACTCTTTCTGTTGTTTAAAAGAAAACTCAGCAGTTTGACTGCATCTCATTCATTTTACTTCTGCATGGTGTGTGAAACTAGCAGCTCCCCCTAAAACCCTTTTCTCTTTTTATTACAGAAACCACAGCAGGGATCAGACATAAAGCCACAACCCTACAGGTAACCACACAGTGCAATAAAAAAAAAAAATCAAGAATCAGGTCCAAGTTTCTGCTGAGCAGCAGCAACAATGAAGAAATGTGTGGCATTTTTGGTATGAAGATCAACACAGCAGGACTGGTTCATTTTTAATTTTTAATTTTTTGTTTTGTTCCTAACAGACCCAAAACTCGTAGAGGGAGTCTGGCTCCAATTCTGATACAGTAAAGGAATGAAGTGAAGGAGTGATCACGTCTAGCGCGTAAGTACATGAAAAGTGAAGACAATGGGAACGATTACTAACACATTAAATGACTCCAGTTGCTATTTTATCTGGTTGATGGATTAACATTGTTCAAACTGATGTATTTATTCCTCCACTTCTTCTCAGTGAGTCTCCTGCTTTGTTTCTTCTGAAGATGATGAAATAAAAAGAAAAACAGAAATGAAGACCGACACTATAACTATAAAAATCACAATATTTCTCAGACCAGTGGTATATAAGAAATATGTGTGTAATATAAAAAGGTTATTAAGGCACTACATAAATGAATGTATCTGATACAATTATAATTTGATGTTTATGTTCACAAGTTTTGAATGTGGCCTTGTTCATTTTACTGGTTTTGATGAAATAAAGAGTAAGTTTTCAGACTTCTGTCTGTAACTGTTATTGTTTCATGAATTTCAGTTTCAAATAAAGTCATCCAGAGTTAAAGCACAAAAAACTAGTTATTTGTCGAATGTACTACACACACACACACACATAGAGAGAGAGAGATCCTACATCACCACCGAGTTTCTAGAGCATGTGATAGAGCCAGGTCGCAGGGCCTGAAGGATATGCTGCCAATTCACTGTTATTAGAAACTCCAGCACCAAGATTATTGAATAACCAAGGTTAAATAATGAAATACTAAAACTATATGTGAAAAAAGTTCATTTAACTAAAGATGCAAAAAAAGAAAAATTAATAAAATATTGAACAAATAAAAACTAGCTTAAAACAACCTAAAACCAAATAAAAACACATGAGGAAATCTCCTTAGTTTTAGTATTTGTTACACCAATCAAATGTGTTACAACAACTTGCCTGATGTGGCCTTAATGGACATGTTTATTGAGAATTTGGACATCTTCTGTTTTGCAACTTAGCAGGGCAACTTTGTGGTGTGGCGGGATGTAATGATGTAATTTTTGCCCCATGCAGGCCGCTTTGTAATAATTAAAAAGACAATGTCATTTTTCTGCGATAATCACTGACAGAGCAGCTCACTCAGAGAAATAACAAATGCAAAACAATTTCATTCATAAAATCAGAGCGAACTGAGTGTCTGTTGGTTTCTTGTTGATCGAACAGCTCCAACTGGCCTCAGTGGGAACGCTGAACAGAAGAGAAAAAACTCTGTTCTTCTGCCAAATGTGGATAGATGAAAAACAAATCTTCACTCTTCACTCTGCAGGCTGTTATCGCCGTGGGCGTGGGCGTACAGTGAAATACAGTACATCTCTCAGTGGCACTGGTCTACTTCCTCCTTCTTTGAACTCTCCCTGTCCAAATGTTCTTAGAGTGTCTACTCTGACTCAGTCTAAACATGTTCTGTCATGTTCAGACACAGAAACAATTCCTCAATAAACACCACAAACAAATGGTTTAGTGTGACTTGGTTTCTGTCTCCTGTCACTTGACTTCTCTCGGTCTGAGTCATCCTTCTCAGAAGTGCAATTGAACTGCACGGATACAAGATTCAGCTGGACTTGAAACTGGACAGATTTCCTCCCAGTGGTAAGAACAGTTCCTGACTCGATGACAGACAAATCCTTTAACAACTCCGTCAGTGATATATTATTGTTGGAACGTCAGAAAACGATAGAAATGGAAACAGAAATACTTTTTCTTTGTTTTATATCACATGCATTACATAAAAGGGTTTTTCATCACATTGTTAAACTTTGCAGCAACATAAAACTTGTTTTGAAATCCTGTCCCCTTTATTTTTTCTGCAAATGTGAATGCATTTGAAACCAGCGGGTGCTCCCTTCACACAGAGACAGCCCAAATATAATCAAAGTATCCGGGTGGCAGAGTATATTTGATGCAAGCTAACAAACATTAAATTTGAATTAAATCTGACAAAATATGGAGGAAACCTACTGTTAAACTCATCCGGCTGGAAAATGAGTTTCAGCTTTAAACCAAATGCTTAGAACAATTTGTGCTTTATGAGAACTGCTGCAAAGCAAGTTGGTTTTTAAGGTGTTAAAACTGTGTTCGGGTAAGTTTAGTGTAGGGTTTGGAGTTATGGATGTGGCTTAGTATTCAAATGCAGAGTAACAAGTGTGTCCGCATGTGTCATCTCCAGGCATGTGCATAGGTTTCTTCCAAGCACTGGTGGGACATCAGTGGGAGCATTTGAGCATGAAGGGTTCAGTTCCTTGATTTGTGCAGAATTTTGTGCATTTTCTCCACCGGCTTCTGCTGGAGTTTTTCATTTACGTGAAGAGAAACCCGAAAACAAAGCACCAGATGGCACAACCAGATTCCCTGAGTAAATCCTTTGCTTCTTTCTTGTTTTTACTGTGGGGCCTACATACATCTGTTTTAAATACTGGAGCGAGGTATGCCCGCTGAGCAGCCCGAAAATCTCCACATGTGCTTTCTGTTAAATCCAAAGCTTGAGTCTTTATTTTAGTATTTATGAATACAGAGTTTTATTCAATTTGCAGTGGAGAAACAAATGGAAACTTCACAATGGCAGTTTCTGTCCCTTACAATAATCCACTCCTGCACATGCATTGCAAAAAAATAGTTTAGGTAAATAAAATAAATGCAGTGGTGTTACATGCTTACCCTTTCAGATAAACAAAAACTTTAAAATAAAAAATCTGAATCGATCAAACTCACATACTGATTTGTTTTTTTGTTGTTTTTTTTACTTCCCGCCCACACGCGCTGCGCTGGTGTCAAATCAAACGTACCTCCTCAGAGCAGTCTGAAGCCGGTCAGCAGCTTGGAGCGAGCTCGCTGTGCACACGGGACCGATCGTTAATAAGACACAGTGAGTAAATATCAAACACCTTTATGTATCTATGAGACATATTCATGTTTCTATTGTATTCATGCAAGCTTCGTTTTAAAAGCTGATTGGCTGCTTAGATTTACGGTGAACACGAGAGACAGGTTTGTTGTGAGTTCGTTTTTTCCACCTGTGCTATGCAGTCACCATTCATTTATTTTTGTAATATTTTATATTACTGAGTGATTTAAGTCTGTTTGTTTGTCAGTTTTTCGTAATGTAGGTATTAAGAAGTCAGAAACATTATAACGAAGCAGTTATTGAATAAGAAGTTAGATATTTACTTGAGTCATGCATTCCAGTAAAGTTTTTAGTAAAATAAAGATTTAAATAGCTTTACATGCAAATGAATGTAAAATAATCAGCAGCAAGTACAATTTAAAGTAATATTAGAAATGTGATTTATCGTAACTGGTTCTTAGATTGTTTTGCTGAATCAATGTGGAGTGACATGCAGATATTTATTCAAGCACAGCATGTAATATGAGGTACTTTCACTTTATCATTTATACTTTAAATACACCAGATCCACTAAAAAGAAATGATAAGGTCTTTTACAAGCTTGTACGAAGATAAACATGTATTAGTGAGAGTATGGCCTTTTTCTCATTTATTTAAGTGTAGGACTTTCACATGTAAATGACTATATTTTAACATAGTACGACTGAAATTTTTGAACTTATCGACTCAGTTATTATTATTCCTTTATTACTGTTTTCTACAGTGCAGAGTAAAACTAATGAGCACTCAGTAAACATTAAACAGGAACATTATTGCACAAAAAGAAGATCATCAATTTCCTCCTTGAGCAGCACTTTGTTGGCTGGGTGTAAAAAAGTCCCTTTCCATAGCAAGACATCTTGAAGAAACCTTCAATCAAGAATCAGGCTCTCATTATGGATGGTCATGAGCTTGGACCAACTGGGGTTGTGTAAATAACACATATGGATTCATTGTAAACCAACATATGTCTTTAATCAGAATCAGAATCAGCATACTTCATTAATTCCTGGGGAAATTATGTGGGTTACAGTTGCTCCAGTACCGTAACATCAACAAAAACAGACCAGACTATTTAACAGTAGAATATGTTAAGATATAGGGAATAGCAGAATATAATATATAATCACCAAATAATAAATCATTCCTTAACATTACGCTTTGATAAGAGTTTTACTTTAATTAGTTTTGTTAATTTTGCCTCAAGATGTTTATTCTGAAGCCATTCTCACATATGCTGAACACGTGTTGCTTTTCCTTCACTTTACAATCCAGCTCATCCCAAGCCATCTCTGTTGGGTCTACGCTGGGGGAGTAAGGAGGCCAGGTCATCTGTTATGGTGGTTTGCTCACTGTCCTGTTAAAGGACAAGTGATTCAACTTCATTTCAAGTTAGCAACGGTGGCATTGAAAAAGAACAATTTCTAGAGGAGGAAACCTGGGGCAGAACCACATTCAAGGAGGGTGGACCACAGCAATAACCAGCTGTGGTGGAGAGATAATGTTCACTATAAACTCCAAACAGATGATGATTGTTTGTCGTTCCAAGCTGTTGACTTAGGTGTTCCTTTGAATTCTGAATAAATTACAATAAATCAACCTTGTCACACAAAGATCCTCTCAAACCATCACAGTTCCTTCTCAGTGCTACACAGCAGGATCCACAAACATCCAACCAACTTTGTGTCTTGAAACAGTTAGATCTAAACTAAGACTAATCGGGCCAGAGTAAAAATTTCCACTGCTCTGATGTCATGTCTGATGTGTCTCTTGGCCAGAGTAGTTCTCCAAATCGTATCTGTCTTTCTCGATAATGCTTTATTTCATTTTGTTTATTTATTTTTTACAAATGAAAATATCAGAGGGATAGCTTATGTTGAATAGTTTTGAGATGAAGTTATAGAGGCAACACTGAAATGGTTTGAACGTTACTTGCCTGACTGCATTGTGCAAGTGTAAAGTTTAGTGGAGGGGGTGGGGGTTGTTTTTTCAGGACTTTATCTGAGGCCTGTGATTCCAGTGAAAGGACAGTTTCATTCTTCTGACTTTGTGGGAAAAGTTGGGGGATGGTCCCTGTGCATAAAGCAAGGTCTATAAAGACATGGTTGGGCAGATTTGGTGTGGAAGAACTTAAATGGCCTGCACAGAGTCCTGACCTCAACCTGACAGAACACCTTTGGGATGAATTAGAGAAATGTATTTCTGGAAGAATGGTTGAAAATTCCCATACACGCACTCCTAAACCTTGTCTAAAGCCTTCCCTGGAGAGTTAAAGCTGTTATAGATTGGGTGGGCTGATATCACATTAAACCCTATAGATTAAAAATGGGATCTCACCCAAGTTCATGTGGGTGTGAAGGCAGATGAGCAAATACCTTTGGAGCATAAGACGAGGCGAAAGACCACAGAGAAGATTCATGGATGTAGTGAAGGTGGACATGCAGGAGATTGGTGTGACAGGATGGTAGAGATAGGGTAAGATATATAGGGTAAGCTATAGTGACCATTAAGTGGGATTTATGGTCCATGACCATATTGTGCTCCTTTGTTTCCTTGGCGGTATGTTTTGGGTCATTGTCATGCTGGAAGAACCATCCACGACCCATCTTCAGTGTTTTCCTGAGGGAAGTAGGTACTTGTCCAAGAATTTGTCCTGTACCCTTGGCATAAAAACAGTCCCAGGATATTTTTCCACCTCCATGCTCCATGCTTGATTTTGGTTTCATCTGATCACAGCACTTTCTCCCAAGCCTTGTATCATTTAAATGTTCACTGGCCTGTACATGTCTGTTCTTGAGCAGGGGGACGTTGCAGGAACTGCAAGATTTCTATCTATTAATGTATAGATTGTTACGGATGGCATTTTAGTGACTGTGGTCACAAATGCCTTCAGATCATTAACAACTCTTCCTGTGTAGTTTTGGGCTGATCCACCACCTTTCTAATGATCATTCTCACCCGTGAGAGTCATGGTCTGAATGCTGTGTTGGGTGTTGGGACAATAGTCTAGGATGAAGAACTTTGGCCACGTTTAATGTAAGAGTCCATGACTATGACACTACATACAGAAAGGATGCTTTTCTGAATATGGTTGCTCTGCAGAAAACAACCAATGGCCTTTTAATAATGCCCAACAGTTAACTGAAAAACATTCCACATGATAAACCCATATAACCAGGCAAAAGTAATGAAGATACTGCCAGTAGTGTTGTGTCTACAGTTTATTTTACAAGGGGAAAAATCATATTACAAACAACCTTGATTGGGTCAGTCTGTGCAAATGTTTGACATGGTTCTCTAAATATTTCCCGTGCCATTGCACTTTATTTGTTGATCATTTATTTGTGTGTAGAAGTGAAAAAATGTGGGCATCTCGTGCTCTGAACTTGACTCTAAAAACCTCAAAATCAATGTCTAAAAAAGGGGAACACTTTGAAGATAATTATAAATGTAATTGTCAAATGAATGTAGTGGCAACAATAATATTCCCCTGTGAAAGTCAATGGAGAGGAGATTAATGTGCTGTAATCTTTGCAAGAGGATCTCCAGGGAAATTTGATAACATGCACTGGTAGAAACTAGTGCACTTTGGACTTATCAGTCTGCACAGAGGCTAAATGAACTTGTTTTATTTATCAAAGTGAAGGTACAAAAAGGGAGGAAGAGTTCAAGTCAGGGTATGGTGTCCAGATGTTACCACTGATAGCATCACGACAGAATAATTAACACACAATCACACAACTGTTTCCAGATTGCAGTATTTCTTCTTTACATGTATTTTCTTAAACCCAGGGAACGTGAAGTTTCTAAATGTTTCCTAATGTGGCTCCAGTTCTGCTTACAGCTTAGCAGTGTTGTATTTTACTGTTTTATTGTAATGGGAACATAAAATCCAGACATCAGATCTATAGTTGCCTGCAGCTTTACAGGAATCGTGGCGCTAAATTTTGATTTATTTTTGTCACTTTCTAATTTGTGTTCCTTCTTGATTTAAGATAGTCCCCCTGCCAAGTAATGTGCACACTGTTGCTCAAGCAGAATGTTTAAAGACACGGTGAAATGCTTTTTGCTTTTTTCAGTATTTTTACAACAAAATCCCTCTCTTCTTTTAACCAATAAGGTATATAATTTGTTCAGTATTCTTATGTTTGAGGAGTGGTTATATGAATCACCTGTGGTATACATCCTGACCTCTGTTGCACTGACTTCACTCCCTCAGAACAATCTCTCATTCAGCATTTCTCGCAATAGTGAAACTCTTGAAAATACAAAAAAACTGAAGCTGAGAAGAAAACAGAGAAAATAGAAATGAGAACTACAGCACTCGGTTTTAAAACTACAGCCATGGCAGAATGCGTCCTCTGGTTGCACCCTTCTCTATAACACTAACAGCCACTTGCCTTTAAAGTTGTTGATTAAATTTTCATGAGGAAAACTTTTTCATTGTTTTCTTGTATGCATATTCGAGGTGATCATGAACCCCAAAGCTGTATGGCTTTTGGGAATTTGTGCTAGCGTTACTGACATCCTTACCTTAAAAATATGAAACACATCATATGACATACTAGCCATGCTGTAACTTGGGTTTTGGAATTTGGGGTTCCTGTGACATTTTCTTCTTTTTTGATCATAATCAAGCATTATTCATTTTGCAGATTAATTTCACTGTACTCATATCTATTGTTTCGATGAGAGTGGGTCAGCCTATACTTAACCATATTATTACAATAATATGGTGTGTTCATACAAAAAGCAAACCAACTTTTCCCCTCAGATATTGGTCCCCAACATTTAAAAAGAGGAGGAGCACGGCAACCAATCACGTTACAGCAACATACTTTCAGCCGTTACAGTGTAGCCTACCTTTCTCCAAACTGAGTTCATTTTCTCTGTGTTTTATCTAAAAGCAAAGTTTAACCAGACCACTCCAATCGTTATCTCTGCATCCTCCATTTCTGATTTGTCAGTGGTGTCAGGAGAACCCCAGCTGGTTCATGCTTAGGCTGTTTTTCAGCAATGTTGCAATATTTAAACTTGCACAAATGTACTATGCCCTCTTTGGTTTTGTTGAGAATGCACCATTACGCATCCAGTCATAGCTTTTACTACGAATGATCAAGAGAGACTGGAGGACAGGAAAAAAGAAAAGCTTGAAAGAGAATGAAACGTACAGTGCTCTTACAACATAAATAAAGTTTCATTTGGTTAATCTCTAAGGTTTCAGGGTTTTTGGGTTTTTTCTAAGAGGATAATCAAGGAAATTCTAAATGACTGCCCTGAATTACTGCAGTTAAGTCATATCTCAAGAACTGGATTTAAATCTGCCTCGTATATAAATCCTGCAAGTGTTTGTTGTTTGTATCACTCTGGGGATGTATATTTTTGTGAATGTTTACATCTGTATTTCCCTTGACAGTTTTATATCATCAACATGGAATTCTCAGAGGAAGACTACGACTATGAAAACACCACCTACAACTTCACCTATGATGACTATCCTGCCGTATGCGAGAAAGGGGACATCCGATCTTTCGCAGCCCTCTTCCTGCCCATCATGTACACCGTGTGTCTGGTGGTGGGACTGGCTGGAAACGTTTTAGTCGTGGCTGTCTACGCCTACCACAAACGCCTGAAGACCATGACAGATGCCTTCTTGACCCACTTGGCTGTGGCCGACTTGCTCCTGCTCCTCACGCTCCCTTTCTGGGCTGCTGATGCTGCAAGGGGCTGGGAGCTAGGGGAGGTTGTTTGTAAAATCGTGTCTGCCTGCTACACAGTGAATTTCACCTGCTGCATGTTGCTGCTGGCGTGCATCAGCTTGGATCGTTATTTATCGCTGGTCAGAGCACAGGATAGAGACCAAAGACGATGGCTACAGAGGGCGTTCACCAGGAAATGCTGTTGGAAGGTGTGTTTAGCTGTGTGGGTGACAGCTTTCCTCCTTGGCCTTCCTGATTTAATACTCTCAGAAGTGAGGCAGGCATCTGATAGAAATATCTGTCTAACCATCTATCCTTCATCTATGGCTCGAGGAGGTAAAGCTGTCCTAGAGGTGGTCGAGGTGTTGTTGGGATTCCTACTTCCTCTGCTGGTCATGGTGACCTGCTACTGGCGGGTGGGCTGTGCACTCCGGGGCCTCCCTGATGAGAGCAGAGGGAAGAAGTGGAAAGCTCTGCGTGTCCTTCTCATTGTCGTAGGGGTGTTTGTGATGACTCAGCTGCCTTACAACGTGGTTAAGGTGTATCGGGCAATGGATACAGTCTACAGTTTAGTGACCCACTGCGGGGCGAGTAAGGTGCTTGATCAGGCGGCTCAGGTGACAGAAAGCCTGGCTCACACTCACTGCTGTCTGAACCCGATCCTCTATGCCTTTGTGGGGTCTTCCTTTAAGATGCACATGATGAGAGTGGCCAAGAAGTTTGAAGCGAAGCGAAGGAAGAGGGGAAGCAAAACAACAGAAACTAATGTGGAGGAGGGGATGGAAATGTCATTCAACTCCCACACTGCATCCCAAGAGACAAACTCATTCTCAATATGAGACATGACTAAAATGTCAGCGAGGTCTATGTGTCTATATATGCACACAAGGTCCAGCAGGAGAGCATATAAAGCTTTTGTTGATGTAGGGTGTAGCAGCAGTAGCAAAATGCTTGCAAATCATTAAACTGTTCAAAAATTCCACTAGTTTTAACAGTCTGTTCCTAAAAACAGTCTTTTTCTGCCAAAGCGAACAGTTTATGTGCTGGTTTCAAAGAGCTCCAATATATATTACTTTTGCCCTCTATTGAAGAGAAAAAAAAAATCATTTCAGCCACATATATTTTATGAAAAGACCTGCTGAGACAGTTTGTAGTTACTCTTTGCAGGAGTAGATGTATTTATTTACAGTAGTATCCATTAGTGACAATGACATCCACCACAGTGGGTTCACTGAGAACTAATTCAAGTATTGCATTAACTTTTCAAGAATTACGGACATTCTTATACACAGTGCTCCGTTTTCAAAATCTGGAAATTTTTTGATTTTATATTTAAAATAAATTTTAGATATAAGGATTCTTTTTAATAGCTGGATGAAAATCCAAGTCCACGGACATCACCAACTGCTGCATTTCATTTCTTGAGATACTCCACTTGGCTCTTACTACAGATACTTCAGTTGCTGCTTGTTTTTTTGGATTCAAAAAGCATGCTTTTCTAAGTTGAAGTCAGGTGACCAAGTGGCAAGTTAAGAATATCCCAGCTCTCTGCCCCGAGAAACTCTTGGGTTGATTTTCCAGGATGTTTTGGGTTTTTTCCGTGTGCACTGTAAAATGCTATCTGAGCAGAGACTACAGGCCTGTACACTTCATAATTCATCCAGCTACTTCTATAAGCAGGCACATCAAACACTAGTGACCCGGTTGCACTGGCAGCCATGCCAATGCCATAACACTGCCTCCACTATGTTTGACAGATGATGTGGTTTGATTCATATCACGAGTCATTTCTCTCTTCCTCCATATGTTTCTTGTCGTATCAGTCTGATAAAAGTTCATCTTGGTTTCATTTGTAAAAAAAAAAAAAGGGAAAGTCTAATCTGTCTTTCATGTTGCTGAATGTAACCAGCGGTTTGCACCTTGTGAAACACACTGTGCTGATCATTTATCTTGAGGGTGTATCTGGAGAGTAGACTTTGCCAATAATATGTCTACCTCCTCCCCAGTGTTCTTGGTTGTTTTTTTAAACCAAGGAAAGAATTCTGCAATATTCCACTTTAGTTGCTTTCTGTGGTCTTTCAGGTCTTGTTTTTGAGCTGGCCTTCTTTTAAAGAACATACTAGATTGCAGAGTTAGAGATTTATGCTCTCTTTGACAGGTTTGTTTGTTTGTTTGTTTTTTCAACCTAATGTCCTACCTCACCCTTTTTTAATATCTTGCAGGACGTAATATAAGGAGTTCAGTAGACAGTTACCAAATACAAGCTCAACACTTTGAACCAAATGCAGATATTTGTTTAGTTTTCCATTATTCTGCTTCTCAACTGTCCAGTTACATCTAAACCTCTGAAAATGGGAGTCTGTGTAGCTATAAAGTCAGTACATTAATCACGTTTTATCGTTTGATTTAAAAATCTGCTGAGGTGGTGAACAGAGGTAAAATTACATAAAAATATTCTCCAAATACTTATGGACCTAACTATCCTTTTAATCCAGATCTTCAAGTTAACTTGTGCTTCTCTGAAATTTCACCAGAAACTTGCACTCTGCCCACACAGTTAAGATTTATTACTAAACTCTCTCTGCATTACACACTAAAAACACCCACAAAGGAAAGAAAAACCAGACCTGCTGGAACTTCAGCTTTGTTGAAAAAGTGCTTTGTCTAATTACAATCAACCATGAATAAAAACTCCAGACCCATTTCATGTAATAATCTGCACAGCCTGTAAACCAGATATTATATCGTGCACCTATGAAAGGGTGAGCAAAGACTTTAAACCTCTGTATGTTTGCCAAATATCTGTTTTTCTCAGCTCAGGATGTATCCTGAAAACTCTTAAAAAAACAAAAACAAAAAAAACCAACAAACATTAACCATCAACAGAATTGCTGTAGTGCGCTGCTGGTGTTTCAGAATCGTGTGATATATCTACATCCACTGGGACTTTGGTTTGATGTGGGAACGCCGCATTTGTTGTTTCCTGAATTCCTAGGAACATCTGAAACACACATTTTTCCACACACAGATTCGCTCCTCTGCACTGAGAGCCGAGGCTGCACAGCGGGGTAAAAAACACTTTTTTATGAGTCAATGACGACAAGTTTGTAATCGTACTTTATCACTACATATGGGTTTACCACTGAGCTGAAATTCCTTAGAAAATGTGTAGCTGCAGACAGAGGGAGGGCTGGACACATTCAGATATTGTTACCCTTACCGTCCAGCATCGGCATCATTAACCCTGACAGATGTAAACAGGATACTGCATAGTTCAAATGTTTTTGATGTCTGTTGCAACTTGTTTTTTTTTTTTTTTAAATGCTCCAATTTGACAAAATGTATACAATCGAATGTTTACTTGTGTCATTCATTTTCTATTCATTAGATGTGAGGTTTATTTATTATTCTTTGGTATTTTTTTTTCCCTGCATCCCAGCTGGTGGAACTCAAGTATTGGTGTATACTGCAGGTCACACAATGTGGAAAGCATCTGAGAAATGTTATCCATCTGTTAAAAGAGCAAAACACTTTATTGAGCCAAAAAAGAAAAAGAAAAAAAAGGGGGGGGGGGGGGGGGGGAGGGGGTTGATCCAATTTGAATTGTTGCATACCTTCTGTGTGATTCAAGACAATTTTGAAAACAATTACTTGTTTCAGACTCAAAATTTGCATTCGAGTGATTTTTGTTCATTTTCCTTACATGAATTTCCTTTGCAAATACAACTGTGCTCATTAAACTGATTTATTGAGAACATAAACAATATATCTTACAATAAAAAATGAAGTATACAAAAAAAAAAACCAACTCTGCATTTGTACTATATTTAGAACAAAAGTGCAACAAATTAAATTAAATTATGATTAAGGCAGTCAACTAACTTCAGTTTCAAACCTGAACTACTTTTTTTTTTAATTAAATAAGTAAAAATATTCAATTATTTAACTAATGATAGGATAAACTGAGGCCTAAAATGGCAGTATCACAATAATTTAGAAAAGAAAACTTTCTGACATTTTCACAAAAACAAGGTAAACAAAATGTAGCCAAACCATTAATTCAATAAATACAAAACGGTGGTTGAAATTTAACTGGGAAACTGAACAGATGAAGACGTACTGCATGAAGACAAAGCTTACATCTCCTGAACTGGATCATCAAAGAAGCAAATACTGAAATGTTATTGCAAAGTTCAACTTATCTACAACACTGTTACAGTCCCAAAAGTGGATAAGCTGTGCAAAGGAAAACAGTTATCAACAACTCAAGCTTTCCGCTGGATGTGGAAAAATACAGAGACACAAAAGTGCAGCAGGAATGTGAAGGATTTCTCTGTTTACTTGAGACCTCGTGGCTCATGGCTTTATAAATACCTTATGGTTCATTAAATCAGGCACTTTTTGCTGGACAGAGTCTGGATATGTTTAGCTGTGAGGTGCACATCAGTGAAGTCTTTGTTTTTTGTTTTTGTAAGATGACAGTGGTATATCAAAGTATCATCTCTGAAATTTTAACAAATAGGACAAATCTTTACAGTTTTTAAGAGGCAGAAAGTGCTTCTCAAGATTGTAAGAGTGTGCATCAGAGTCACTGTCAGACATCAGTAATTCAGGATCTGCACATCAAACAGGTCACACACTCCCTCGTTGTCATCCAGGTTGAAGCTGTAGTCTATACCTGAATTTGGAGAAAGGAATCAGTGCAAAAATGAAAAGATGGCACCCACACTGAACACACATTCCAGCTGTTGATGATTTAGGACCTAGATCAGAATGTGAAAGGCAAGGCCCAGAGTTCAGAATTGGCCCGACAAAGACATTAATCCAGCCCGCTGCACTGCTTTGGAAAATGTGAAGGAGGGCAAACATTTACACTTTCATCTGTATTTTCATAAGTTTTACAGCTCCTTTAATAGATAAACAATTAAATAACATTTTATATTCATGTTTAACATTCCTGTTTTTTTCGTAGTCTACTATAGAAATTTCCCTTTTCTTAATTAACAAAAATGTTTTGAACAATGAGCTACCAGAACTTTTTCGGTAATTTTACACTTTTATTTTTGAGTTTAAGCCCAAAGAGTTGTGCTGTCAGAGCAGCATTTCTTCTTTAGACTGTAGAAGTGGATGACTTGGGTGACTGATGAAATGTTTCTCCCACTGAAAACACTACTCCCAGGTGAACAGAAGCAACTTTTTGGGAAATGTTAATATGCCAAATTAAGATGTTAAATATGTCAAATAATAAACCTGCTAAGCATCAGGATGTTAGCATTAACTCAGGAGCATCTGTTAATCATTTGAATGTCTTCTCTTTGACCTCCAGTCGTTAAAATGGACACATTATAGTGATGCCTAAGGTCTGAAAGGTAAAACCAGAGAGCTTTATAACAGAGTTAGGGGTCTCAGTTTATCTGAAATAGGACTTTATGGAGGTCTATATGTAGGTAGACTACCTCCAGTAGTTAGGGGTAAGTGTGCCCCCAATTAGACAGCATTACAGAAAATTGGGGCGATGAATGGAAGCCAAGCAATGCACTGCTGTGGAGGGGTGAGCAGCAATATATATTTAAGCGTAGATACTGAATGTAGTTAAAACAGGTGCTGTGATGCTTACCATCAGTGGACATGAGTTCCTCAATCAGGTCAACAGCTCCTACAAAGAAAATTAAAAACATGTTTCTATTCCACTGTGGTGTTAAACGTTCACTGTTCTGGACCATTTGTAGCATATCTGTAAACAATTCATTCCTTTCCTCCCACTGAAAGAAAAAACATTAAATAAAAGCATGCTTAGACCTAAGAACGTCAACTGAATCAGAACTGAAACAAATGTGAAGTAAACATTAAAAAAAGGAAAAAGACTTATGATTCTATTCATATCTCTGGGCCTCACCCTCTCGGTTATCCTTCATGTGGTCTCCAGTGGCACTGAGCTTCAGTAGGCTGCTCACATCCAGAACAGACTGGAACTCCTGGTCCACCAAGTCCATCTCCTGCTGCTCCAACCCCATCACTGGTCGACCGTGATAGACTGCAGACAGAATGAGGAGTCGAAACAAGGTCACTTAACCTCATAATGAAGGATTAAGTTATCTGGAGGCAGAAAACAACAAATGTTGGAATGTGCACTTGTTTACTATAACCCTGGAGAACCCATGGGGTCAAATTTGACCCCATGGTTTCCTTCAAAAACCAATGGGGTCGGCTCTGACCCCATGGGTTCTCCAGGGTTAATGTAAGAGTTCGAAAAACATGATTACCACCAATCTCATTTGTCCAGTAAATAAGAAGTTAATGCCAAAAGGCTGTTAATTTATTAATGTCCACGAGGTCATGCCTGAAAAGAATCCTATACATGGCCCACTTTAAATCTGAATTATTTTTACCTAACTCGTTCTTAATGTACAAAAAAAATAAACACACCCAACCCTATGCACTGGCTTCTCATCTACACACCACTGTGCAAAACATACCATAAGCTTTCATTTTACAGAATCCAAGTGTTTCCAAATGTTGAGTAAGTAAAAATCATTCAGTGAAAGGTCTTGTGATTTTGTTGGGGCAATTCCTCATTTTTTTATTTTCTGGAAGGATGGTCAGACTGGGTTTCGCTTTGACACTCTTCTACTTTTAGTGCAACTCTGACTCATCCTCTATAAAACTTAGAGCTGTCAGCTGTCGATCTGTCAGATATACTGGAAGTCTTTTTTTAATAAAGCCACATGAACATATGCAATGATTAGCCACATTAAAACCAGTGAAGTATATGGCACCGCAATGCAATATTCTGATGGAGGGAAACTGGCATCAACGTGGATGTTACAAGCACCACCCACCTAAATACTGTTATAACCCTTAACAGGCTGCCCACAGGTTGCATGGAATCCAGTCTCAGCATTACAGAAATGTACAAAAACAAGTCAAATTAAGGGAGCGCCAACAAGACCCACTGCAGGCATCCTGGTGACGGACACCACAGGATAACTTCAGCGGTCCTG